ATCAAGAGCCACAAGCTCAACCGACTGAGCCAGTCAGGTGCCCCAAGATCAGACTAATCTTTAAAGACTTCCCAAACATCCTTGCTGGAAGCAACCTCTTTCTCCAGTATCCTTATTTTAGTGCTCCCTCTGGTGTTATCCACACCTTTCCAATGGAAGAACAGCTCCCTTCTTTGGAAGGTACATCTGTGAAGGCAGCAGAGTCCGTCCACCTGTGTATTCACTCCTCTTGCAAACTCAAAGATTTTTGCTGAAGAGATGAACATTCCCACTATGACCTGCAATGTCCCCCAGAGGTCACATGATAGATCCCCTGTCCAACTTGGCTCCTTCCCTGTGACTGTATCAACTATGCAGTCTACACAACCCAGGGACTACTAATCACTGATCTCTCCTAATACCTCCTTTTAAAACTCAAAGTTGATTCTCAATTAGGCAGACAAAACCTGAAAAGTTGATCCAACATCTTAACTTACTCTTTTACATGCAACCAAGTGTAGAAGCATTTCCTGGCTCTAAAGCATCTGTGATAAAATCTGCCATAAACCAAAGGTCGATTTAATGCAAATGTATACACACTAGATGCAAGCCACTTCATGCGACTGGTGGAGAAGGAAAAACAGCGCATCGCAAAGGTATCTGTGCACTCGTATCTGTACTCCACAACCATCCTTCCAGTTAACCACAACACTATTCGGGGGCTACTTTAAGATACTGACACCATGGGTCAATGACAGGAGTGAAGAAACACATTTATTTACTCAAGTTAGAGGAATCAAAAAGCGGGACATTCGGGCAGGGCACAAGGAATACTACAGACATCCTTACAATCTGGAGCCAGCTCTCCTGATACAACCTGGCCGTAACAAGTCTTAGATTCTGTTCCTTGAGATGCCAACATACCATGCATTTGTTTTTGCAAAGTACCAAAAGAAAAGTACCTTAAAAAATGTAAAGTAGCTTTCTTTTTTATATGTTTCTTGCATCCAGATACTAAAGCCTATAAAGTAATTTGGTCTAAATAAAAATAGTAATAATGACTCTAATAACAACAGCCGATAGTCGCTGGGACTTTACTCGCATAATAAATAACCTTTTATTGGGGCGCCTGGGTTGCTCAGTTGGTTAAGCATCTGACTTTAGCTTGGGTCAAGATCTCGTGGTCTGTGAGTTCGAGCCCTGGATCATGCTCTGTGCTGACAGCTCAGAGCCTGGAGCCTGCTTAGGATTCTGTGTCTCCCTCTCTCTGTCCCTCCCCCATCACACTCGGTTTCTCTCTCTCAAAAATAAATAAACATTTAAAAAATTATTTAAAAAAAACACTTTCATCAAAACAACTTTGAGAGGGGTAGCTGGCTGGCTCAGTCAATACAGCATGCAACTCCTGATCAGAGTCATGAGTTCAAGCCCCACACTGGGCACAGAGCCTACTTGAAAAAAATTAAAAATAAAAATAAACAACTTTGAGAGGCAGAAACCATTTTGTGTACTAAAGATGAAGAAATCTGAAAGAAGTCAGGGAGTCTGGAGAACAGCTAAAAAAATGGTACAGCCCACAAATGAATGCTCATTTAACTCCAGAGCCCAGTTTCCTAACTTCTTTATTATTCTGCCTTTCCAAGAATCCCAACAGGCAGGGTAAACACAAAGACAATCAAGAAGCTCAACAACAATGATTATCACTGACCAAATTTTCAGATTTTACCCCCAAAAATTTATCTAAAAAACAACTAAGAAACATTAATTTTTTTCACACAAAATTTTAAAAAATGCTTTCTAAAAAAGAGGACTGTACACAAATCCGTTTCAACTTAGAAGATCATTAGAGTTTGTTTTTAAAGAAAAAAGTCAGAAAGTTAGATGGGAAAGATCTGCATTATTCAATAATTTCTCACTTTTTCCTAGCTTTAGATGAAAATCCTGCCTAAGATTTCCTCCCATTAACACGAGTGAATTGGAAATAAGGGAGGAAATATGCTCATCCTTCTTGCTTCCTGGAGAGAATTTCCACCTCTTCCAGAAAGTAAGAGTCATTGCAAACACGGGCCTCAATATCCTACGACAGCTAGAATGTACCCTCTTCCAGAAATGAGTAGTCACTGAGAATGTGGAAACGAAAACAAAATTTTCCACAGAGGAAATGTTGACTCGAGGTTTGTCAGTAATTATCCTCTGCATGAACTCTCACTGGAAGCGTTTCCACTAAACCCTTCATGCAGGTTCAAATTCTTGCTAAGAAATGCTTCTCAGCCACCTATGCTTTTTGCCGGAGGCAACCATGATGGGGTAGAAAGCAGTAGTCTTGGGGCACCTGGGTGGCTCAGTCGGTTAAGCGTCTGACTCTTGGTTTGAGCTCAGGTCATGATCTCATGGTTTGTGGAATCAAGCCCCACATCGGGCTCCATGCTGACAGTGGGGAGCCTGCTTGGGATCCCTCTCTCCCTCTCTCTGCCCCTCCCCGCTCTCTCTGTCTTGAAATAAATAAATAAGCTTAAAAAAGAAAAAGAAAAAAAGCAAGCAAGCAAGCAGTTGTCTTGGAGGCAGAAAGCGGAGGCTCGATTCTTGCATCATCATCCATAACAGCTACCATTTCCTCACCCCAGGCCCGGAAGGCCGCTTAGAAGCAACATGTCAAAGTCTCTGTTACATACCAGGAACTCTATTTACCTGTTTATTTTAGAGCAAAAGACTTTCTCCCTTTAATTACAAAGATACAAGACACATGGTTATAACCCAAGTCATGTATGGATCGCCGTTAAAAGAGCTAACACCGTATGCTAACTATGCACGCTGTGCGAAGAACTTCACATCTTTCACATCTGATATTCACAGCGGCCCTGTGTGGTCGTTTCTCTTATTATCCCCACTTTTGAGATGAGGAAACCGAAGATTAGGAAGTTAAAGTCACACAGTAAGGGAAAGAGCTGGATGATGAACCCAGGCATTCTGTCTGCAGAAATCCATCTAAGTAAACATTTTCCTACATTGCTGCTCGAAACAGAGATGTGAGCCCTAAAATTACCTTTATGGGTAATAACGCACTTCCGAATTACTCATGTCATGTTAATTTCGGCATACTATTTGGCTGGAAAAGAAAGGTGGAGGGCAAGTACAAGAGGCTGCCAATCCATACTGGGCGCCAAAAAATCTGGCAGCAACATAGGTAAGTAAACACCCTTTTTTTTTTTAATGTTTACTTTTGAGGGACAGATGGGGGGGAGGGGAGACACTGAATCCGAAGCAGGCTCCAGGCTCTGAGCTGTCAGCACAGAGTCGGACACAGGGCTCGAACTCGCAAACCAGGAGATCATGACCTGAGCCAAAGTCAAACACTCAACCGACTGAGCCACCCAGGAGCCCCAGTAAATAAACATCCTTAAAGAAACAAGTCAGGAGTACCCAAAACACCCAGTGCTAGGCATTATTTAACAAATTATACTTCTTCTAAAAGGTGGATTCAAATATAAATCATGTTAAAGAAAATGTAAAGACTTAAGATAACTGAATAAAATGTTATTTAAAGAGAGGGAAACAGGTTGAAACAAAATGAACACTAGAGAAGAAAATATATACAAGATAAAAATTACTAGATTATGTGCACAAAAATAATCATCTCTGAATGACAGGATTAAAGCTTAATTTTTACTTTGTACTTTTCTGATCTGTTTGCAAGACATACGTATTAGTTGGATCATCAAGGAATAACTGCTAAGAAAACGGGAGGTTTGTTTGTATAGCCTGTGTCTAAAAGTAATATTTGCTGACATGTCTACATGAAGAGAAGATCCAAAGTACAAAATCATGTTCACTGTCACAGAGCACAACCAAAGGCAGTTCACCCGTCACATTTAGATTGGTCCAACTGGTACCAAATCCAGGAGACAAATCCATTTCTTTTTGTTTGTTTTTAATGTCTACTTATTTATTTATTTTGAAAGAGAGAGAGAGGGAGAGAGAGAGAGGTAGGGAGAGGCAGAGAGCGATGAAGAGAGAGAATCCCAAGCAGGCTCTGCACTGTCAGTGCAGAGCCCAACATGGGGCTCGATCTCATAAACCATGGGATCATGACTTGAGCTGAAATCAAGACTTTGGATGCTAACTGACTGAGTCACCCAGGCGCCCCAACAAATCCATTTCCAATGGTTAACCACACCTTATGACTCAAGAATCAAGAACAAAGTCCAGGTGGGAGTGGAGCACTAGAACAGGGCGTGCTCCCATCCAGTGAGAACTCTTGAGTTCTTGATCAAACACAGTAGGGAAACCATAGGTTTCATCTTCAGTCAGTTGAGAAACCTAATCAGACTGTCCTTCGAATACAATACCACCTAAAAACCAAAAACCAAACCCAAACAGTCTTTCACAATACTTACCAACGTCTTAGTCTAAGCTGTACTTGCTTACCTTCAATCCATTCACTGTAAGCCGTCACAGTGAACTTCTGACCATCCACAGTATAAAATTCTCTTTGGGCAAGAGCCTTCCCTCCACTGCTGTGATTTTCATAGTTCCTCACAGATTCATTGCAAGAAGCACTTCCACCATCAATGACACCAACCAAAGCCCATGCTTGCCTAGAAGGAAAAACACCATGAGCCTTATTTGTCATGGTACCAGTCCAGATCCCTGACACACGTGTTATGTCAGGTGCTGCTAAATGCTTGTATTTCATTTCTATCAATCCCTCTACTTCTTTTACCATGAGGTTGTAAGTCTAAACCTTGACTGAAGTAACCAACCTCACAGAAGGAAATGCACCTGGACTTTAAATCCTTTAAGTCGTTGGTGAAATACCAACGACTGGCACTAAGATTAATCACTGTCTTCCCTCCTCAATACACACCCGTTTGACACATCATTCTGGGCACAAACCCATGTATTTCCCTTCTTTTAAAATGTGTATTGCAGGCACCCTGATATTTATCGCAGCATTATCTACAACAGCCAAATTACGGAAACAGCCCAGCTGTCTAATGACTGATGAATGGATAAAGATTCGGTATATATGTATATGTACACACACACACACACACACACACACACACACACACACACACACACAATGGAATATTACTCAGTCATTAAAAAGAATGAAATGTTGGCATTTGCAATGACATGGATGGAGCTAGAGAGTATTTTTCAAAGAGTTTTGTTTGCTTATTTATTTATTTTTATTTTTTAGAGAGAGAGTGTGCACACGCGTGAGCAGGGGAGAGGGGCAGAAGGAGAGAGAGAATCTTAAGTAGGCTCCACACTCAGTGCACAGCCCAACACTGGGCTCAATTGGACAACCTTGGGACCATGATCTGGGCCAAAATCAAAAGTGGGACACTCAACCAATTGAACTCTAGATGCCCCTAGAGAGTATTACGCTAAGTGAAATAAGTCAGTTAAAGAAAGACAAATCTCATATGATTTCACTCATATGTGGAATTTGAAAAACAAAACAAACATAGGGGAAAAACTAGAGAGAGGCACACCAAGAGACAGACTCTTAACTACCGAGAATGAACTGATGATTACCAGAGGGAGGTGGGTGGGGGGATGAGTGACATCAATGATTGGGGTTAAACAGCACACTTATGGTGATGAGCGCTGCTGGGTAATGTATGGAAGTGCAGAATCACTATATTGTGCACCTGAAGCTAATATTACACTGAATGTTAACTAACTGGAATTTAAATGAAAACTTCAAAAAGACAGAAAAGAAAAATGAACAATAAAATGAGTATCGCCTGCTGTCTTTTGAACTCTCGTTAATGTTCTCAAATCTGGCTGCATAATAGAGGCACATGGGAGATTTAGGAGTCCATCCATGCTCAGACCCAGCCCAGACTGATGACATCATCATCTCTCCAGGTGGGGCGTGGCCTTATTAGGTTTGTTAAAGTTTCCCAGGCGATTGGGATGTGCAACCAGACTTGAGAAACACTAAGTTGGAGAGTGGTTCTCACACTTTGATGTGCATCAGAACACCCGGAGGGTGTCAAACCAGATTGCCAGGCCCCACTCTCAGATTGCTTGGGCTTGGGCCAGAGCATTTGCATTTCTTTTTTTTTTTTTAATGTTTGTTTATTTTTGAGAGAGGGGGAGAGTGCAAGCTGTGGAAGGACAGAGAGAGAGGAAGATAAGAGGATTGGAAGCGGGCTCTGAGCTGACAGCAGGGAGCCTGATGGAGGGCTCAAATTCATGAACCATGAGATCATGACCTAAGCCAAAGCCAGAAGCTCTACTGACTGAGCCACCCAGGCATCCCTCAAGAATTTGCATTTCTATCAAGTGCCAAGGTGATGTTAAAGCTGCTGGTCTGGGGACCACATTGGGAACCCCTGAGTTAGTCACCAACCCTGACTGCACATCAAATGCCTGGCGGGGAGTAGGGGGTGGGAGGGGCCCATCAACTAGAATTCCTGATGTAAAGCCTGGAGTGGGCCCTGGGCATGGGATTTTTAAAAATTTCAGGAGTGCCACAGAGCCCCTGGGTGGCCTCAATGAGTTAGGCGTCGACTTGGCTCAGAATGCGATCTCACAGCTTGTGGATTCAAGCCGTTGGGCTCTGTGCTCACAGCTCAGAGCCTAGGAAACCCGGATTCTGTCTCCCAATCTCTCTCTTTCCCCTCCCTACTCTTGTCTCTCTCTCCTTTAAAAATGAATAAGCAATTTAAAATTTTTTAATGTTTATTCATTATTTTGAGAGAGAACAAAAGACACAGAGCATGAGCAGAGAGAAAGCAGAGGAGACACAGGGCAGAAGCAATTCCCCTTGCCTGAGCTGTCAGCACAGGCAGGGGCTGCAGTCCTGTGAGAGAGCTCTGAAGTCACAAACCTTGAGATCCTGAGCCGGAAGTGGCGGATGCTTAACTGATGAGCCACCCAGGCAGCCTATAAACATTTAAAATAAAATAGTGTCCTCAGGAGTGCAAACTGAGAACCAATAAGTTACTAGTGTCTGTAAACAAATCAGTTGTATCAATCCTCTCCAACAGTTACCCCATTTTTACATCTGAAAAGCAACTGTGTTTGAAAATTCGACTAATTTGTTTTATTTCTATGATAAACATTCAAGGGACTTGCTCAGACTTGTGGCCAAATAAAAAAAACAAGACAAAAAGCCAAAAAAATGTGCCTTAAGACTCCAGGTTTAAAACACAGAAAGAAAAATGTCAATTTCCTACTCTGGGGGCCGGGGGGTGAAAATATATGTGTGTGTGTGTGTGTGTGTGTGTGTGTGTGTGTGTGTGTGTGTGTGTATGGAATGCCGTCTGTCAGATGGCTGGATACTCACAGATAAAGTCCTTCCAAAGCATGCCTACATCCTTATAAATTCCACACCTGCCCCGGCATGGATTAGCTACTTTTCAGCTGACAGCCTTTACTCGCTCTATTTATATTCCTGACACACACAAGGAATCAAATACAGAATGTTTCAATTTATTACATCTCCTTGAGAAGAAAGGGCTTATATCAGAGGCTCCCTTTAGTACTTCCCAGAACTGCCTCCAACAGCTTCTAAAAAGCAG